TGGCACTATGTATGTAGATATCATGAACTCAATAGGATGGTTAAAAAATAGTAATGGCGCATTTTCATTGGTGTACATATAGATGTAGTCTATAGATATACTATCAATATCTATAAATAGCAATGACTGACAAAATAGTTTTGAATATATATATACACATACTACATAAGTAATTTACAATATATTTGCTTATTTACCAATGAAGGGGAGCCATAAGAAATTGTTATTTCGAAAAATCTAAAATATTGTGTGAGTTTTGTGTCTAACTGTACATCAAATAGTTGGTACTCGGAAACTTTGATTACAGGAAAATTATTTTCGAACAATGATACGGAAGGCTCTCGAGGTGCACGTGGAATAATAATCTTTAGATATATACATTACGATATAAGTACCTAATTATTTCTATGTTACAGATATCCTTTATACTGTAAGCATTTTTTTATTAGATTTGTTAATTAGTTTGCATTTTAAAGGCTCCTCAACTACTGCAATGATTTAATAAATTCTTTCACCTACAGGAATCTTCGTCATACACATAATATTATAGGATAATGATATATATATATAAAAAAATAATAATAATAAAAATCATTTTATGAATATTAAACAAATGAAATATAAATTTTAATAATTGACTAGATCTAATATATTTGATCTAATATTAATATCGATCCATAAAACATAATTAGGGTCATCTGTATACGATTTTTTTTCAATCTAGTCAATTATTAAAATTTATGTTTCATTTGTTTAATATTCATAAATACATCCTAACTATACAAAAGTAGTTTTAGATAATATGTACATTCTTTCGATTGCAGCTTTTTTTTGTAACTATATTTGTTTTTTTATTATTATAAATATATGAAATTAAAGGAGTGCGTCTATATCAAGCTTAAGTTTGACGTTCTCTTTCACTCAGATCTTTTCCAATTCTCTATCTTCAGTTCCTATCTTTCTCATTGATTGCCATATTTCGTCTCGTTTATTCTTTGTATCTTTATGTGCATCCAACATAGTCAAGAGTTGTTTTATTAAATGAGTAGATTTTGCAGTGAGAAGTAATTATTAGGCATACCAGATTTTTGTAAGAAAAAAATACATAATAAACAATAACACGGAAGATGACACCGGCAGCGCCACCAGGTGGCGTCGTGCGCGTGCGCAGAATTCTGATTAGGGCTATGGGACAAAGACTTGTTACACGGTACACGTTTCGAGGTATTTGTGTGTTTAATATTTTAAATAACTAATTGATGTATGTATAGAACTAGTTCTGTTTTAATTATGAAAATCTAAGTTTCCGTAAGAATGTTGAGATTAATTTTATATAGGTAATTTAATGAGATAATACGATATATCATAAATGCTTCAAATTTAACTAGTCCGTGTGAAAAATTAATAACAATATATACAACTATAGCAAAATAATAACAGATTATATAAATAATTTATGGGTTTTTCCAGACAAAAGTATTCGTGTTCTTGGTACATTTTTCTTACAGCAAATATAAAATCGTAAATCGTAGACCGATTAGTTATTCATCGCTTATCATTTACTTTAATTTGGGATTTATACGAGTAAATATAAGAAAAGGTGATGCCACCGATTTAAAAGTAAGAAATTTTTCTCACTATGTAATTACTTCACAAGTTTAAGATAATCGAACTTGCGGTCTATCGGCCACGTTTTCTATCTTGGCGGCCATATGACTTTCATGTTTTTTGGCCATCTTTGGTCATTTGGTGTGAAAGACTGCTTTGTTATCAAATTGATTGCATTCTAAGTAATCACGTAACTTTCAATTACAAAAGCCTATAGTCTAAACTAATGTAAGAAGTTTGTAAACTATAAACCCTTGAAATCTTATGGATCAATTTTGGAGACCGCCTGCCATAACTTCCTATATTATTAAGATTTATTATGATAACTAGCCTATGTCAATTTACTGCGTCCATTTCTAATTCACAGGGAATCTCGAAACGGGATAAATCATATTATATATGTAAATATGTAAATCCCTTTGCTATGCAGAGTGAAAAAAAGAAAGTTGTTTCCCGCTTTTCATTCGAAGATTCTAATATGATGATTTTTTATTGTTAATAATAAGTTGAAGTTCATAAAAGTAAAGAATAAAATATTATTCAAGTGAGCAATTTATATTTCATGGAAATAAAATGGCGTACGTCGTAACCATTCCGCCGTTGAATTTAGCGTTAAATAATAAAAAGATCACCTCCTTTCTGTGGATTTATCTATATTCCTGCAACTTTCGAATGACTTTAAAACCCTAAAGAAGTGGAGCTACGTTGAACGACAATGTTATAACGAATACAAAAATAAATCAGACATGGCTGTATGGGCTAGATTCTTTTGCAATGCAATAAGTAAATTACAAATTGCATTATGAAAAAGGGGACAATGATATCTAATCAATGAAAGTTATGCAAGTTGAGGGCAGTAACAAATTAAAGGTTGACGGCACCCTACACATGTCTCATTAGTGTCTCTTCCTCTTTTGTATCTTCTAATATATATCTTCTAATTTTTATTTATATCTTGTAACACTAGGATTTCTTGTCAGTTTTTTTTTTAAGTTATTTTATATAAATATTTTGCTTTATTGCTTAGGATATTTTGCCAAAAAATGGGTGCAAGAACATCCGCGCCCCTGCCCAATCTCTAGTTTGCCTAAACGATACCATCATTGGCAATGTCCAGGTATACTACGCTAGTTACAAATCACAAGTACAAGAAACATGTGAACTATGCGTCCATAGTAAAACATGACATTTTTTTTGTAATTGTTTCTACAGGAAAATCTCACGATTATTAATTATGTATTGTATAATTATTTATGTTGTAATATGTTATTTAACTATAGTAACTCAATGGGTAATTGACAGTACGTTTTTTATTACACGTAGATTTTTTTTGCGATTATTTTTGCTGAAAGATAAAGAGTTGTTTTAAATCTAACAATTAAAAAGTGTATTTTGACTTTAACTGCAGCTATTTTAGTAAGAATGTGACGGGTTCGATGCTTGGGGTAATTAATGAAAGGGTGACTAGCTTGAGAATTGATTTTATTTTATGGTGATAATGGGTAAATAAAAGAAACCCTTTTTGGGTTTCTTAATAAAAACTTGGACGCTATTACAGGATATAATTTTGTATATATAATTTATAATTTCTATTTTAATCAAATATCTTTATTATAATATTTAAAATAATATGTTCACAAGAGAAGATTTTTTTACGAACTGAAATTCATAAAGAGCATATTTGATTAGTCAAAATTTCAAATTACGAAAGATGAATAATAAAACGAAATGATGTTGAAGATCAAAGAAAAAAAGTTTGCATGCTGAAACCTAGGAAAAATAAACGGTTGTACAGCACACCGTTACAAGAAGTACTAGCTTTCTAGCACGTGTTTGCTAAAGTAGTCCCGTATATTTCGAGCATAAGTAAGTTTTACACAAATAGTGTTTACGACTCTTCATCATATCGGTATTAATGTCAAAAGTAAATACTCGATATAATATTATCGACGTATGTAGATGTTAAGTACCTATCATGACTGGTTACTAGTATGAGTTTTTTACGTTTGATTGCGTGTTGCCAGACCACTGAACTGTGTCTGTGTATTGAATAACTGGCGTACGCTACGAAGATAGTCCTTTGTATTTTTAAACTATGCGTTTTGTATCTCTTTGTTAAATGCGATTGTGTAGGTTTTGTATGATTTCCTTTTAAAGCATTCAAATCATCCAGTTGCATTAACGTCTATTTAAATTTTCATTAGTTTAGCGACATTATGGATACGTTAAAATGTAAAAAAAAAAAATCATTTCGTCCGCCTTCGATTCTGATTGATGTGCTATTATTATTATTAACCTATTTCGTAATTAATTGGCACATACGTTGAAATTACTAAATTGAAGACGTTGAAATGTCATTTCGTTCCTTTCTGCCATCTTGTTTATTTCAGTTGAAAAATACGAAAAACAAATATTTCATAGTTCAAATATAATTTTTATAATTGTGTTTGATAACAACTAGGCCTCTAAGAAATTAAATTAACGAAACCCACATTGTTGGGTTGTTATTCTATATCGATAATAAAGTATTCAAACTTAGCTATAAGTATATTTTATTTCACAGACACTTCTCTCTTGAACACCGTGACACACGTGCCCATCTCGCGAGCTGCATCGCTATGTGGCTACACGAATTTATAATTAATGGTTAAATGAACTTACCTCAAGTGATGTTTGACCATAATTATATGAGACGTTACATCCGAAGAGATTTATAGATGCTTTCTTTCTACTCGTGTTACCAACCTTGAACCAGCCAACCATCCTTTTTTGAAGCCTTTTTTACTTCTTTATTGATTTTGTACGTATTTTTGTTTTACATGTCATAAAATTATAGATGTCACTCAGCCCTATCCCGGTTTTCTTATTTTGGTTCCCTAAATCCCAGTTTTTCATCATAAATCCTTTATTTAGAGCTATCGTTAACAACTCGTATGTAGTTAATTTCCCAATGTTTTTTATTATATTGATCTTTGTCGTTTTCTTTTACAATCAATTTAATATTAATGCGTCTTAGCATTATCTTTTATCATAAACAATTAACTACGTTTAAGGATAACGACACAAACTTTTAAGACAAATAACATTTTAAGTAGGCACTTGAACATTTAAAAAATTGTTTGCGGTGGTTAATTGTTTGCGGTCGGGAAAATATTATAAATTAATTGTACTATTATAATGTTCGTAAAATAAAATAATCACCATTTTGACTGTCACTAGTCTAATATCATTAGTGTCAATAATTGAATTGTTGTATTATTTTCTTGTGTTTTAATGCCACATTTCCTGTACCAAGTGTAACGAATGACAAGAACGTGCCAAAATGCAATACTCATGTGAAATACTAATGCAGGCCCTTGAATGTATGTATTCCTGGACAACACTATTGTGCTAGCATTAGTGTCGGGAGGGCCTGCGCAGCCGCAAGTGCGCTGTTCACGCGGACTTCTTGAATGGTTCGTTTGTGTTTTAATTATAAAAAAGTGTTGTTACGTAAATACCGGATAAAACAGTGATTAAACTTTGATTAGTTATTATTGCAAAAAAAAAAACACTTATTTATATTTATTTTAGTTTGTAAAGGATGTAGAATTGTAACACAATAGGTGTTCTAATTAAAAAAAAAACATATCAAAGCTCTATGGTAATTCCACCTGACGGATCTGTAAATATGATCCAGTAGTTCAAAGGATTCGACATCTGCACAAGAAAGTAAAGGCGCGCTCTTTTTAAAATTCAAAAAATAGAACGCGAGAACAAAAGCGCACGGATTCTAATTTCAAATTTGAATTGAAAAGGAACGTGGTGGCATTGTAAGCAATCTCGCTGCGATCGTTGGGTGAGAACGAAAGATAAAAAAAATCACACCGACGACGACGACTGGATTCAAAATTGAAAGTTTGTTGTATAAACAAGTATTTTACCGTTGTAGTGTCCCTACGCAAATGGAAAGCTTCGTGTTATTCTGTGTTATTGTAAATAGCTCATGTTATTTTCATCTCTAAAGTATAGTTTTAAATATCCAAAATGTTTCCGCGAACGTTAAAATTAATTCAAGTGCATACGAACTTAAGTGCGTTGACCTTAAAAGAAATGTTATTCCAAATATAAACCGTGTCCAATTAAAATACAAAAACAAAAGAGTTTAAATGTTTACATGTGATAATATTTTTTTAAACGAAGAACCGTTAAAATGATCGATAAACATGACATTTATTATAACAGTTATTTTTACGCTGCGATGATCGCATTACGATTATATGAACAAGTTTATGCAGTTTGATTATTGAGGCACGTTTAAACTGTAGAATTAATGATAAAGATATTTATTTCGTTCTGAATTTGAATATTAAATTGGTTGCATCCCACGGATTGATTTATTTGTTCTAAAATTGTATTTTTAATGATTGTGATATCTATATCAAATTATAATGTTAATTATGATTTCAGCTTGTAATTAATTAGTGGATAGTTTGTTATGAAACCACATTATTGTTTGTCAAAATTAAAAAGTGCGTAGACATTTTAAGGCCCATTTTGCTTTAGACAAATTAAGGTATACCACGTTTCATTTAAAGTGGCACAAGATGTAAACAAATATGGCGACATGACAGTTTTGGTGATTGGACATATTATTATGAATTTAATTTATTTAACTATCTCTTTCATATCATTCAGTGACTGACTTTTTCCATAAAACTTGTCTTAAATGGATATAACTATTGTCAGAGTAGTATAGTATATAATAAATATTTAAAAATGTTTAACGCGAGAGTTTATGGGAAAAAAATATTAAGCGACTTTCTGGTGAAAATTAGGTTTATTGCACTTTACTTCGTCGTTTGATCTCAGTTTCACAGCAAACAGTAAATTTGCCTTAAATGATGCGACAAAAATTTTTAACAATAAAGTGCTATAGAGCGTTTGAATCTTTTTGTTTTATTCTGAAATATTGCTCCTTGACGTTGATTAAACTCTTTATTTTGCATGAAATTTATTTAATTTGAAATTAAAATTCTATTCACTCTGTCTGACTTTAAAATATAACAAAATGAAATTTTCTGATCGCTGATCATTTTTATATACACAAATTTACTATCATGACAAACCATACACTTTCAGTGTGAAAAATATTTTGACCGATGACTACTTTATGATACTTTAGTTGCTTTAAGCAGGATAGTCTATCTTAAAAATACACCTTACCTAAATATAGCACAAAATTATATGTTATAGTACTGTTGGCAACCTTAGTCCAGACTGAGCGAACAAACGGACAACATGAGATTTGCGTTCGTTCGCCTTCGCTTCGTTTGGGATAAATCCCGTAAAAACAAACGACTAAATGGATGGTGTCCTTTCATTAACTGTAAGCACAATAAATTGAAGAAAACTATGGAAAATATTACAGTGCAGTAGATTTTTCATAACGCTACTGTGCATGACACAACTGTTGAAATAGTTTCTAACACAAATTATTTCTTTCAAACTTTATTTTATTTATACGTTTTTCACTGGAGATGAAAATTAGTTTATTAATTTTATTTAGTATCCTTTTTTATGCCAACGACATTTTGACATATATTTACTACAAAATACCATTTTTTTTATCAATTATTTCAATATGCCCGACTGAGTTGCTGTTTCAATCACTCAATATGCTCTCATCATTAGTTCTTTTTTTCGAACTGTCAGTGGTACGTCAATTGTAAGTTTAGAATGTATTATTTAATTTTATAAAACTGTGATTTTACTGCTTATTTCTCAAAAGTGTATTTAATAATGGTGTTAAAAGTGATTATCCATGTTAACAAATCAGTTTCGGTTGCATTTCGTCGTTTGATCATTGCGAAAACTCCGTAAATTGTTCCAGTGAGTTGTTTGTATACATCATTCGCCACTTTAAATTAAACAAAACGTCAAAAATACTGTAATTTAAAACGAGACAACCATATAATATTATTGTTTTGTTACTGTCGAAATATGAATTTATAAAATTTTCTCGATCGGAATAGTCAAAAAGTTACCTGTAAAAATCCTAAATTTTCGACCCAATATATTTGTGTATTTATAAATGTAATTTAATCACATAGCAACTCGTTTAAATATCATCAACAAATAAGGATAATTATGCACTGTAGTCATTTGATAGATAATAAAATATTGCGTCATAAAATTGGTGTTCCAATAATATTGTACCATTTTGACATTTAGAATGTTGTCGTCTTGCATAATGGTAGGTCACGTTACATAGAAAAGTTAAAGATTATCGAATTTTAATCAAGATTTTAATTACTATTGTTGTGTTGTTTAGACAAATCAAATGGGTAAGAAAAGATATACTTTTTTTCAATTTACATATCTAGTATACTTCAAAGAACTTGCAATAGCTTGTTTTTTTATAACATATTTAAACTCTTTTCAGATAGGATATGTTGAATTTATCAACATATATTTTGCATTTAAAATTTCATTTTTATTACCTCGAATAAATGTTGTCGAGAAATTCGTTAAAATAAAATATGCTAATAAACCTGTTTTAGTGCCGCAGTATTTATTTTTATCGTCTATTTTTATATAGACAATAGTATAAGTGTATGTCAAACAAAATAAATATATAAATTTAATAATTCATATTTATTAGTGCACTTTTTAATGTCAATATTATTTATTTCTTTTAAAAGTAAAAAAATCAATAAAATAATGCAAAAATTTTGAAGTAGTGTAAACTCGACCTAACCTTCGCCTTGCAACGGCTGTAACCCCATTCGAAGGGTCGATGACCTGAACTTGAAAAAAATGTCTCCCGCCTCCCGCCCACCACGCATTGTATGCAAATAGAAGCGAAGCGTTGATGTTTGTTCGAACTTTAAATTATGTCAGTAGGCTTTGTCACTTCGAGCGGCCATCATCAACTGCGATTCTCTATTGTTATCATTCAAATTTGGAATGCCAAAAGAATGTTCTTGGGTTTATGAGGAAAAGTTTTTTTTTATGTTGAGGATTCTTGTTTCTCTTTCGTGTTTACTCCGTTTCAGATAATCTATATTTTTCTTTAGTCATGGACCATCATAGTAATCTGTTTTAATGTTGTTCCAAGACACGAACGACGAACCGTTCGTAGAACGAAAAGTAATTTATCATTCGCGTCCGTTGTGACTATAGATGCAGCGTTAATAATAGTATTACCTTTTCGAAGGATAAACAAGTTCATCAGATGTGTGACCAATTATGTATCGAGATCATACATAATTGGTCACCCATCTAAGGGCTGGCCTTTTTTTGAAGTTTAGAAATATGTTACTTATTCCCGCTCCTCCTCCCCCGTGGAACTTACCTACCCTTAGAAGGGGGGCTAAGTCGAAAAGCAAGGGTTTACTCACTAAAACTTAGCGATGTCCCTTTGCATGAAGGCGATGCATGGAGAGGGCCTGGAGGCCACTTCTCTTTTCTTCCCTTTCCTATATTATTTTGAGTTAGGTGATTTTATGGCTTAGTAGTTACAGATACTCCATAAAACAAGTGTCTTAGGTACTTATTGGAATCTGAGCAATGTATGTGATATTATTTTATATTTATTATAATTCAAGCTTATCTATGACTCATTTATGAGAATGCATTTCACATATTTGATACTATTTTAAATCTGAGGAACAATGGATTATAAAGCAGGAAAACTGCCTTCAAAATCCTTTGGGCCCTGATTCCTATGATGTATTGTTTGACTAATAGCTTTATGATAGGCAGAAGAATGGAAAATACTTGTGGTTTTCCTTCTACGAGTATGACTAATAAATGCATTCACACATCGAAGGCATACTCAACTTATAAGATAAGGGTCGGTGCATATTTGACGAAAAATACGTCGCCTATTTGTGTGGTCTATTTACAAAACCCGGTAAAACGTTTTTTGTAAATCGAACAGCTGAAATATAAGTATTATCCATATTTTATTATACAACAAAGATTGCAGCAAACTTTGTGTTTTAGTTAACAAAATAATTAAGTTTAAATCCAAATTAATTGGTGAATTTAAAAAGTGAAACGAAGTGTTCCTTAGCATTAACTATGAAAAATGAAAAATCCGTATCTCTTTTACAGGAGTCCTCTAGTATTTATTTTATTCTGTTTTCTAGTATTTGTTATTATGCGGCTTCAGAAATACATCATATGTCAAAAAATTCACTATTTAACTATCACGGCTCTCAAGAGACTGCCAGTCGATAGACAGACAGCCTGGCAACAGATGGACAGTCAGACAGATGGAAAGCGGAGTCTTAGTAATAAAGTTTCATTTTACTCTTTCGGTTATAGACCCAAAAAGCAATGCATATGGTGCCATTTTAAAGTCCTAACTTCTTTTCATATGAGAAGGTTTTAGCGGGTTTTAAAAGTGAATCCTTTTGACTATACCTATATAAAACGATAAAACTAACAAATATATGATATAACATAA